AAGACAACAATTAGAACAGACATGCAGCTATTACCGAATGGCATCATGCAGAAGAGTTAATGCTCAGATGCTACTGGATCTCTAACAACAGCAGGCAGTCTTTCAAACAGTGTGCAATTCATGTATACTCTGATTCTAGGTCAGCAGTCATGCGCCTCTCATACGGCCCGCCTACCTATCGAAAAAGGTGGCTTGCTCAATCTGGCAGCGTCTGCACACCCTTTGTCAACGCTCCAAATGTTCTATCCACTTACAGTGGATTCCAGGCCACGCTGGACTAGCTGGGAATGGGGAAGTTGACAACATCGCTAAATAAGCAGCAGCGCCTACCCAGATTGATACGCCAATCTATTTCTCAAGAGCTAAAGCTGTCATCCACCGGTTGACCTGCGCAAAGTAGAAAAGAGAGGCGAAACCGAAGCTGCCATTCACCCATCCGCTATCATACCAGCTCGAGGGCTTGCTCAGACAAGACCTTGGGCTCCTCTCCCAAGCATATCTACACAAAATTACGCCAGCGGACAACCCAGATTCGTCCTGTTGAGCCTGCGGGAAGAAAGGCGAGACTACAGACCACATGTTCCTGAATTGTCCTGCCAACTATCGTGCCAGAACACATCTGCTGGTACATTTTAGTGACCCACATTCGACACTTTTCAAGGACCCCCGAGCAAGTTTGAGTTCCTGCGTGCTGTCGGCATTGCTGACACTTTTGACGCCGGAGTGCGAGAAGAGAGAAAGATCACCAGAATCCTCGACATGGCGACACTAAAGCACCACTCATGCTAGATCTACTCTTCATTTTTTTAAAGATTTTCACTCTGATTGTTGTAAACAAACTGAGTTCCCCGCTCAAAGGCCACACAAACCATTCAGGAAGAAAGTTATAACTTTAACAAGTGTGCATGTCAAAAAAGAGATCATTGCCACAACATTTTTGTTGCTATTTTACACCGTCGCCGATCGGTGTCCCGAGGGGGAAAGAGACGGCTTCCCACTTTGTCATATCTTGGCATACATCCTGATCCAGGTTGACAGGGTGAGAAAGGCATTGAAGAACAGTAAATAAATAGTGTGAATGATGTTGAACAAGTTTACTTTCTTTCATTTAGTAGGGCTTGCACAGTTTCAGTGACAATAAGTCAATAAGATTAGTGACATATCTGGCTATTGTATAGCAAGGACAAAATCTTGCCAACTACTGTTCTTTGCTGATATGTCTCTTTTAAAACTGTAAAAATGTGACAAAAAAGGCTTTATTACAAACAACTTTGAGCAGGAGGCTGATTTTTGAGAAAAGCCTAAAAACTCTTATTACCTTAACGTAAAAAACAGTGGCTTTATAATTGTAATTGCAGCAGATTTACGTTCCTGTTGACACGATTTAGATTTGCCTGTCAGAAGTTTACTCAGTCACAGTCACTATGCATCATCCCTATGTGTGGTCAAGCTCAGTTTGTCAACCCCACTCATTGCCGTCATGCAGGTGATGGGAATTCCCTCATTGCACTCACCTTTGAGTTCTAGAGAAAGGAAAAGAACTCTGTATCAGCACATTCAAGCTCTTAAATTTTAAAATAAGTTATTTACCTGTGACCGGATCTGGTAACTTTTGATAGGTGCCCCAGCTTATTTTTCATGGGAACTTCTTTTAATAATTTGAGTTTATTACCAGTTGTCATAATGGTGTGATAAGGGATTGCTTTGTGAGTTAATATGAAAAACTTTCACCTCAAAATAACCATGAGCTGAAAGTGACTGATAAAATGAAAGACTGACATTTGATTTAATATGTTACATGTGAGATGACAATACAATTGGAGAATATATAAAAGGGTAAAAATATTGTGCATGCACAATGTGTGCTAATATTGTGCATGCGCAATGTGTGCTGGGCCAGCAGTCTTTATTACAGTGGAAACCTGATACAACAGGGATGGTGGGAGTAGAGAAAATGTCCTGTTATATCTGATCCCTGTTAAATCAGAAATGCAAAGGAAAGTAAGCACGTGTGGACTAATCCAGCTGTACTTCTTCATGGGTAGTTACCCTTGCCACAAGTACCCACGAACAGGGGTTTTGGCACCGACTTTCTCCTTGCCTCCTTAAACCACATCAGAAGAGCTTGGTCCACTGCATCTGCATTGGGTAGTCTCATCTTCTTTCGATCCAGAGTAAACTTTCCTTTGGAGCATGCTGTCACTATCTTCTCTCTATCCTTGATAATGGTGGGAATTGACCCTTTTGGAATGTCGAACTGACGACAAATCTCTGCTAGTGGAGCTTACTTTTTGTCAACAGTCTAGATTATTTCGTATTTTTTGTCAATTGAAAGGCATTTTCTCTTGCGCTTGACATCGTTGGTGACCATAATGAAAGAAGTAGGCTTAGATCTAGGCCGATCGGTCGTCCCCTTGCTCTCTCTTTCTCTCTCACTCTCTCTCTCTCTCTCTCTCTCTCTCTCTCTCTCTCTCTCTCTCTCTCTCTCTCTCTCTCTTTTACTTTTTACTCATTGTTAACGAGCCTTTGTCCCTGCTATAACCGGTTGGGCTCCGATGAGGCCCTGTTATTGCCGATAACTTTTAATAGAGACAAAGAGTAGGAAAAAAACGGGGATTTTAAACATCCCTGTTATTACCGGATCCCTGTTATTACCGGGCCTGTTATATATGGTTTCCACTGTTTTTGTGACTGGTATGAGTTACAAGTTTTCAGTCCAAACAAAATGCTTCCAGGAGACAGAAACTGAAAGGCGTAGATTATGGTTCAAAGTGGCATCACAATACAAACTGCTATTCTGCATCAAGCGAAATTGTACTGAATCAAAGAAAGAAAATGAAATATAGCTGATTATCCGTCCATGTTGCTGTTTTTACGTAATTGCTGTTTTATAAAATTTTCGGTTAGTGCCATTGCACTCTTTTTTGTTTTCATTAGCTAAGTAATTTTGAACTTAACATGTACATTTATTGTATTATATTATTTATTGTATTATATTGTATCTGCAGGATGTACCAGGAAAAACTGGAGAGAATGGATCAGCAGAGACGTTCAGTGAGAAAGATGCAGATGGGAACCAGGGGTCGCTCAGAAAAAATCCGCACTTACAACTTCCAGCAAGATCGCATATCTGATCATCGGATTAAGGAGAACTTTTTCAACATGCAAGAATTCTTAAATGGTGAAGAAAGTTTAGACGATATGATAAGCAGCTTGGAGCTGGAAAGCAAATATCAGATGCTGGATTCTATGCTGGATGAGTACGAGTTGAACTTGAAGAAGTCAAAAAAATCATGACAAGGTGCGAGTTTTATTTATTCCAGTGGTTCTCAAATTTAAATGACAAGAAATGTGTACCTTCGATGGGATTTCGCATCTGGCAGTTGAAATACCATTCACTTTACACCACTTAACACAACGTGGTCTTGTAGTGAATTTGATAATTTTGTGAAAGGTTCCATTTGTACCCCTACACTCTAGGACCTTCTTCAAAAATGTCCTTTTCCAGACTGTTGAGTCTGTGTATATAACCAAAATGGTTTTTTTTCCTTGGTCAGATTTTTATCAAAGAGATAGTTTTATTTTAATTCTAATTCTTCCAGAATTACATCACCTCCTTGACTTCTTAGTGCAAGACTTGGTCATAGGTAACTTTTTGAAAAGGCGTATTGTGGAGTCTTGCACTAAGCAGTCGACATACATGCATAAACCATGTTGGCCAGACATTGACTGACAGCCCAATGGTGGCAGGTCAAGTCTCATACTAAAACAGTTTGTATAAATAAACTGACTAAGCATATGCCTGGTCTTTGTTTATTTCACTGAAGCCTGTCATGCCACGTCCAGCCAGTTAAATAACCTGAACTCATTGAGGGGGAAGTTATTTACATTTTTCAATGTTGTACTTTTTTCTACCAAATTTTTGTTTGTGCTATGTTGTCATGGTAAACGAAGTATACTGAATAGCCTTTACTGGAAATAATGAAAGTTTTTCAGCCAATGAAAGGAATCATCAATTGTTGAGGGCTGTTTAAATAAAGTTACTGTGATCATTTGAAAGAAAAAGTTTCGTGTTCAAAATTTTGCTTGAATACTGTCCATGTCGGAAGGGGGGTTTAATAATATTCTCTTTAGTTGATGCTCACATCAGCAGGCTCTTTCGTCCTTGTACTACACAAATGGCCTAAATAAGTTAGCATTGTTTTGAGTTTGAGTAAATAAATAATAACTTCCAAACTTCATATCCTTTCCTGAATTGGGTCGTAAGAATTTCTTTTTTATGACTTGGTAATTTGTAAGTACATTTACAGTTTTGTAACTACAGATTTCTGATGAATCTTGTAAGCCATCATAATGCATGCACATCATAGAGCATGATGTAGTAAGGATTGTCATCGTGGGTTAGTTGAATTTTGGCCCATGTTCGACATATGTCATTATTGCAGCAGGTTGACAATAGTCTTTTGGAGACACGCCATGCCAGCCGGTTTTCTGTACCGATGTCTCTGGTGTCACGGTTGGATGCTTGACTGTCGCATGTAGGAGACGCGAGTTTGATTCCCGAGTGGGGAGAAATTTTATTGAGTATCTCGGTCTTTCTGCTGGGATGTTGTTTCCTTATCAGCCCGGGTTGGCTGTGATATGTAATGTCAAATCCCGCCTGTAAAATGATCTAAATTGTGTCGATGGGTGTGTAATTAAAACACCTACATTTTATTTTAGTAGTCCCTAGTTTACTGCTCTGCCCGGCATCTATAAATCCTATTCATGTATTATAATGATGTCCTTTTGCATGCAATGATGCAAGTTTATACATAAAAATGAGGAGCTGGAGAAGTAGAAAATGTTTGAGGCCTAAGGTAATCCCAAACAAACCTCTTGAACCTGATGGTGCGGTAATAAAAGGAGAAAACAAAACAAATACAATATATATATATATCATTAATGATTTGAAGCAATTTATTGTTACAAAAGATTAGTTTCTATTGGGAGAGAGAAATTCTGCTTTTACGTTCAAATGATTACAACAAGAGTCATCGACAGTGCTACTACATGTATCAAATTTTTATTTGAGTAAATAACAATGTAGGCCTACATGTAACAATAATGGTAATTTCATACAGAGAAGAAGCAAGACAGATAGACTGCGGAAAAGAATAGAAGTAGGCCTCACCAGTGACGCCTTGTTCCCACCTCCCACAACTAATTTTTCTGATGACTGGTCAATACATGTACTTGGATTCATATTTAGATCTTTTACTATTATTACTACAATGTTGTTGCTGATGAAAACCATTATTTCTGAGTCGATGAAATTGGGAATTTTTATAGAGTGGTGTAAGGCAAGCTTCCTGTCTGTTAGTTACTAGTATAAAAGGAAAATGACTAGATTTAAACCCCCCAGAAAAGACAGTGAGTAGTTCCACCACTTTGTATTAACCAAATTGATTTGACCAAATGAAACAAATACCTAGGACACATAATAACGATCAATTTAATAAACTAGCCTGGAACAATCATCGAGACACTATGCAAGAAGTCAAATCTAAAACTTTAATTTACAGTAATTTGGAAGGAAATTAAGATTTCTGGATATTGATAGAAGATCAATGATGGCAATGTTTTATTCTTCCATCATAAAACGTATATATAGTGAGGTGTAAAAAAAAACGCGAATTCTTTATGTTGTTGTAGTCGCCCAATGCTGAGTTCATAGTTTTGTGATGTGAACTCATATCACTCAACACTTGCCTTGAGCGTCTTGATTGGGCATTTTTGAGCATCGCAAAGATATCATTGGCTGCGTAAGCAATACACAACTCATCACTGGGACACATTTACAACTTGTTGTCAGTGGTGAGTTTATGCTCACTCAGTCCTGGGTGTATGCCTATAAAATCTGCGCCTCGAAATGTTGCATTCATATCGAAACAGACGAGCTACAGACATGCCAAGGTTATCAAGGGAAAACAGAGAAAGAGCTGTCGGACGACTGGCGGCCGGTGAGTCGGTGGAACAGGTGTCCCAGGTTTTTGGTGTCCACCCAAGCACCATTTATTAACCTTCGGAACCGATTACAAGCGACAGCGACAACAGCAGATCGACCACGAAGCGGAAGACCAAGGGGGACAACTCCGGCCCATGACTGTGTCATGATTCGTCGGCACCGCCGTGATCCGTTTCTGCCGGCTGCAGAGACTGCCAGAACGACCATGGGAACGACTGAAAGCCAACTTAGCCGCTGGAGTGTGTCACGGAGGTTACTGACTGCTGGTCTTCACTGCAGGCGTCCTTACGAGGGAGCTGTCCTAACACCAAGGCATCCACAGCAACGGATACAGTGGGCACAGGCGCATGTCAACTGGCAGAACACACAATGGAGGAGAGTCCTCTTCAGTGATGAAAGCAGGTTCTGCATCGATCCAGCGAACGGCTGTGTCCGTTTGTAGCGTAGAGACACGACTCGCTATGACGACAACAACATTCTGGAGCGTGACCCCTGGGTAGGCGAGAGCGTGATAATATGGGGATCCATGGCGTTGAATCATGGAGTGGGACCTGTCATCTTCCAGAACATTGGTCCAGGAAGTGGAAACGGCGTCACAGCTCAGCGCTACATTGTACAAGTCTTGGCATCTCATGTGGTGCCCTTTGTACAGAGGCATCCTAACTTCCTGTATCAACAAGACAACGCACGACCACATACCGCACGTGCTACCCAGAACCTCTCGGCGCAGAACAATGCCAATTTATTGGCACACCCACCTCGCTCACCTGACTTGCACCCTATTGAACATTTGTGGGACATGGTCCAAACACAGCTTAACCAGAAGCAGCCACGGCCTCGAACAGCAGCCCAGTTGACTGCAGCCATCATTCAGATCTTTGATGGCATCCAAAATGGCCAGATCAACCGTTTGATTAACTCTATGAACAGAAGATGCCTCGCTATAATCGCTGCATGTGGAGGCCATACGCGTTACTAAATTTGCTCACCAAGGTCAAGGTCAACGTGAGCTCAAATGAATGTGCTGGACCCTCAGTTCATGTCAGCTATGTCACTCAAGAAGTGTGCAAAGTTTCACTTTCAGCTAATAAACACAACAATTAACTTGAAACCTATGTGTTGCATTTTGTCAATCATTGTGTTGTATTAAAAATTCGCGTTTCTTTTGCACCTCAGTATATATATATATATATATATATATATATATATATATATATATATATATATTTACATACATGTAGTTTTGTTTACCAAACAAAAGATGTTGAGGATCTAAAATCACCAAGAGTAAGAGCGCAGAAAAATTCAAAGCAAGAACTTGTCAAGAACTATATCTCCTGGTAGATTTATAAACAAACCACTTCTGTTCCAACGAGCGCAAAGGATATCATTCATGATGAAATTGGGCTCTTGTGGTCTCGAGGTACTGTGTTCGCCTCTCGTTTAAAAGGTCCCGGGTTTGAAACCTGTCAGCTTACTTACTTTACTTTTACCTTTTCATCCTCTGTTGCCGTTAAGCGTCGAGGGGAGATGCAGTTTTCTATGGTAGGCCATCTCCGCAGCTCTTTCAGTTGTGATGTTATGTTTTCTAAGGGTTTCCTTGACACCCTCGGTCCACCTTTTTCGTGGCCTTCCTCTTCCTTTATAGCCTTAGTGCTTGGTGTTGTAGGCCCTCGAGGCTGGCTGGTAAGGTGACATGCGTAACAGTTGGCCAAACCATTTTATCCTCTGTCTTTCTATGTAACGCAGGCAGGACTCCGTGCCGACAGCTGCTCTTACTTCTTCATTTCTCTGCCTGTCTCGTCTTGTGATATTAAGGGTTTTGAGGAGACAGTTCATTTCGCATGTTGTGATCTTGCTTTCATGGGTTTTGCTTAAATGAAAGTCCAGGTCTGGCACTGATAACATAATGTTGGTATGAATATTGAGGTGATAACCTGTCAGCAACTACAAAAATTGTCTTCTCTAAAATGTTCTCCTTTCTTTCTAATTTCTTGTTGTTGTCTAGTCTTGGTCTGTCACCTGCTTTCATTTCTATCCCCCTCCCCCCCCCCTCCAGGCCTCCTCTCGATTCTTTTCTTCTGCTTTATTCCAAACTCTCTGTACTGCTACTCCTGACACCTTCTTACTGCTGCCTTTCATCCTTACCTCCGGTCTTAAGGTAGGTAAAAAGATTGAACAGTTTGCCTTCTCAGGTAAAAATAAATTCATGTAATAGATTTACATCATACACGTGCACCTCCTAAAACATAAAAAAAAGGTTTACCAATTTTTAACGCATGCTTAAGAAACACGGCGTAAAGTTGCTCGCCTCGTATTCAATAGATAGATCCCAGGTTCGAATCCGGATAGCGAGGAAACGTTTTCTTCTCTAAAAATTTTCTCTTTTCACATCCTTTCCTGCTCTGTACTAACAATGTTCTGTCGTCTGCTTTCGTCTTCACTTTCTGCCCCAATCCCCTCAACCCCTTTGCCCCCCCCCCCCCCTCCTCTGGGCTCCTGACTCTTTCTGCTGCCTTTCTTATTCTACTGCTACTCCTTGGCTCGTCTTACTGCTGTTTTTCAGCCACACCCCTGACCTTAAGGTAGGAGGAAAGAACTACACCTCCTTCTCCACAGAAAGTAGGGACGAAAGCAGACGACAGAACATTGCAAGAGACCAAGAAAAGAGGTAAAAGGAGACTATTTTTTAAAAGAAAAAGTTTCGGTCGCTACCCGGATTCGAACCTGGGACCTTTGAATGAGAGACCTTAATCTCTTGTCCACGAGAACCTCCCTCGTCCCAACTAAAATGACGTATGCGGCATTCCAACTGATTCGTCTTTTGCCGGGAGGTGTCGTGTCGTTTTGAATGCAAACGGAATTTTCATGAATTCTTCCAAGGTAAAAAAAGAGACCACCGTTTCTATACATGTACTATCAACTTCCCTAGTGACGGACAATTTACAATTTACAGTCGGGTTGTTTCTGGTTTGGTGAACATGCGGGCTTTTTACAGGGTGCCCATTGGAGGATCGACAAACCGATCGACAAACCGATCGCCCGATTCGCGGCCTGA